TGTTGAATTTTGCCAAGTACTTTTTCTATATCAATTGAAATAATAACATGGCTATTTTTCTTTAGTCTGTTGACGTGATAGATTATATTAACTGAATTTCAAATGTTGAGCCAGACTTGGATACCTGGAATAAAGCCCATTTGTTCATAATATAGAATTCTTTTGATACACCGTGGGATTTCATTACCTAATATTTTTATTTTTAGATAAAAATATTTCAATCAACTATTTTGATTTCTGAATATTTAGGATTTTTGCATCTATGCTAATTAGAGAGACTGGTCTGTATTTTTCTATTTTATTGTAATATCTTTATCTGGCTTTGTTATTAAACTAAGGCCGGTTCTCATAAAATGAGTCAGAAAATGTTCCCTTTGCTTCTATTTTCTGGGAAAGATTGTGAAGAAAGTATCATTTTATATGATTCCATTTTTATCCCTCTTAGCATATAAATTATACTACTATTTATACCTTTTTAGTGGTTGACCTAGAGTTCGCAATATACATTTATTTACAACTAATCTAAATTCACTCTTGATTAACACTATACCAGTTCAGAGGTAGTGCAGATACCTTATAATAGTTATATATACTGAATACTAATTCCTCCCTCCTATAACTTATAACATTCCTGCCATTCACTGCACTTATCCATATGTTATAATTACCTAACACATTGTTATTATTACTTTGAACAGTTATCTTTTACATCACTTCAGATAAAAAAATATTTAACCTTCAGACATTCCTTCTCTATGCTCTTCCTTTCTTTATAGAGATTTGCTTTTCTAACCTATATAATTTTCCTTCTCTCTGAAGAACTTTAATAAAAAAACATTTCTTGCAAGGCAGGTTTACTGGCAACAAATTCCATCAGTTTTCATTTGTCTGATACAATCTTTATTTTTCCTTCACTTTTGAAGGATACTTTTGCTAGATACAGAATGCTAGGTAGGTGGGTTCATTTATTTTCCAATACTTCAGATATTTCACACCTCTGTCTACTTGCTTTGCATGGTTTCCGATGAGAAAACCAATGCAATTCTTATCTTTGTTTTTCTATAGGTAAAGTAGTTTTCCTCTGGCTGTTTTCAAGATTTTCCTTGTCTTCCATTTGAACATGATAGGCTTAGGTTTAGTAGTAGTCGTCGTAGACGTCGTCGTAGTCGTTCGTAGTCATTGTTGTTCTGCTTGGTGTTCTCTGCTCAAATGCTGTATCAGTGGTCTGGTATCTGTCATTCCTTTTGGAAAATTATCAGCTATCACTGCTTCAAACATTTCTTCTGCTCCTTTCTCTCTTATCCTTCTGGTATTCTAATAATGTATATGTTATACCTTTTAAACTGTCCCATAGTTCTTGGATATTCTGTTCCATTTTTTTAAAGTCTTTTTTCTCTATGCATTTCAGTTTGGGTTGTTTGTATTGACATATCTTTAAGCTTACTGATTCGTTCCTTGGCCGTATTCAGTCTACGGATAAGCCTATCAAAGGAATCATTTCTATTACGGTGTTGTTTTTGCTGTTGTTGTTTTTTATTTCTAGCATCTCCTTTTAATCCTTTCTTTGAGTTTCTATTTCTCTGTTTATATTACCTATCTGTTTTGGCATCTTATGTATTATTTCTAGTAGACTCTTTAGCATTTAATCATAGTTATTTTAAATTCTAAATATGTGATCATTCCAAAACTTGAGTCATATCTGACTTTGGTTGTGATGCTTATTTTATCTCTTGAGGCTGTTTTTTCTTTTATAATGCTTTATAATGTCTTCTATGTTGAAAGCCATAAATGATGTATAACATTATAAGAACTGAGGTAAACAGACTGTTAGTGTGACATTTTATGTTAATCTGGCCAGGAGTTGTGCTGTGTTTAATGTCTGCTCTAGCTGCAGGTGTCACAGATTTCAATTTCTTCTAATGTCCTTGTTTTTATCTCCCATGTTTTCTTAGAGTTTCCCTAAGAACTTAAATAGAGTCTGAGCCTTGCAGGTCTTTCAGTCGTATTCCACAGTTGTTATCCTGAAGCCCTGCTGATGTGGTGATAAGGTGTAGGGTAATGGGGAACATTCTGTAATCCTACAATTAAGCCTCAGTCTTTCAGTGGGCCTGTGTCCCCAGACTGTAACCTTCAGAAGAGCTTCACAGCTTTCTCTCTCTCGCTCTCTCTCTCTCTCTCTCTCTCTCAGATGAGACAGGAGGCTAGAGGGACCTGGAGTCTGATGATTTCCCTTCTCCCACACTGGAGAAGGCTTTGGCAAAGTTTTTTTTACTTGTTGGATAGTCCTTTGTTAGGTAGAAGCTCTGAATGTATTTCAAAATGATTACTTTTCTGTTCCCCATGCCAGGAACAGATTTTTTTTCTTGGTTCTTCAAATTGAGAACCTGTGATGTTCAAACACTAATCTACACTCTGCCCCAATCAATTTGTCAAAGTTACCACTTAAGTATTCCTACTAGTCTATGGCTCCATGGCTTTCCACTCCTGATAAGTAGATCTGGGCTGTGGTTCTCTGTAATTGCCTGTCTCTCCAGATTTCAGGGTTGCAGTTTGCTCTGTAAATGCAATTATCTGATGGGTCTAAGAAAAAGTCATTGATTTTTTAGGTTATTCAGCTGTTTTTCTTGTTGTAAGACAGGTGATACAACTTCCAAGCACTTTATATGTTGGAGCTGAAACCAGAAGTCTGCAACTGGCTTTTTGTATTCAACATTATATTTGTGAGCTGCATCCACATTGATATCTGCCGATATATTTTATTCATTTTCTCTACTGAATAGTATTCTGTTTTATGAATATACCATGCTTTATCCATTCTCCTGTTGATGAACATGTGTTTTACAAATGTTATAATGAGCATCCTTATAACATCTCCTAACATGCATATGCAAGAATTCCTCTAGGATGGATACCTAGAAATGGGATTGCTGATTTATACCGTGTGAGCATCTTCTACTTTACTAGATATTACCCTAATGTTCTTGAAAGTGGTTGTACTCGTTTATATTCAGCCAGAAGCATATTAGAGGTCTTAGTGTTATGTTCACCAACACTTGGCATTGTCATGCCTTTATGCCAACATCCTGGGTGTTAAATGATATCTCATTATAGTTTTACTTTGCATTTCTTTGATTACTAATGAGACTTCATAAGTTAATTAGCCATTCCTGTTTTCTCCTCTGTGAAATGCCGATTCATATCTTCTGACTATTATTATTGGGTTGTTGGTATTTTTCATATTGATTTGTAGGGAGGAATTTCCTTAAAGTGACTCAAAAAATGCAAACCATCAAGTAAAATACTGATTATATGATTACATTAAAATGAAAGGCTTCTGCTTAACAGAAGACATCAGAAGCAATGTTAAAATGATAAGCCGTTTAATGGAAGAATATATTTGCTAAATAAGCAAAAAGAGTTTGTATTCAGAATTTTAAAATAATCTCTATAAATAATATGAAAAACAAAACAACCCAATAATTGGCAAAAAGGAATAGGCAACTCACAGACGGTTCCAGAAAGGCTAATAAATTCATGAATACATGCATAATTTCACTGGAAATCAGGAAAATGCAAATTAAAACAAGGAGATACCTTTCAAATATATTAGACTGGCAAAAATAAAAAAAGTCTAATACTACAAAGTCTTGGCAAGGATGTGAAAGAGATCTCTGAAACCCTGATCATGGAGTTGAAGATATACATATCCTATATAGCACAGCAATTCCACTCCTAGGTATGTAATCTACAACAGTGATTTTTAAAATGTCTCTCAGACCAGCAGCAACAGCATCTCCTGGGAACTTGTTGGAAATGCAAATTCTCAGACCCTACTCCAGATCCACTGAATAAAAAATTCTGGAGGTGGAGTCCAGCAATCTGTATTTTAACAAGCTTTCCAGGTGCACACTAACATTTGATAATCACTACAACAAAGCAATATTTTTCCAATTTTTTTTACTAAGATCAACAGGAAGAAATATATTCTGGCCCACATATATCTATTCCACCCCTTCTCTCACATGCATGTGCACATACATGCAAAATAGAACTTTCAAGAAACAGTAATTACCCTTACACTATAAAATATTTATTGATGTTTTCTATTCTATTCTTTTTTGTTTCATTAAAAAATTGCTGTTTGGGACCTACTAATTGTACAATAACATTTGTTGCAGAATTATCTGTAATAAAAAAATGAAAAGAAAATATCTTCAGGAAAATGAAAAAATTGATTATACTATATTTCTACAATGGAATACATAGTTCCTTACATCATTAGAAATAAATTTCAAAAACCTTATGTATATTGAGTTTAAAAAGCAAGTTGTAGAAGGGTATGTAAAGTATGACTTCATCTGTATAATTTTAAAATATGCAAAATTATGTTGTTTATTAATATATAGCTATTATTAGTGAATAGTAAAAATATAAAAGAAATATTACTTACAAATTTACTTAGATATTTGGCAATTTTTCAAAACTTAGAGGACCTGCGCTTTCACTTTGCTCTTAACTACCAGCAACTTATGTCATATGTAAGACAGGTGGAGTATTCTGAAGAGAAAAAGTACATGATAACAGTAAACCCTACTCACAACTAGGAGGTCAATTTTTTATTAACTAATTCTAGAGGCACCATAGCTATCAGATATGGCGGTCCTATGAATACTGCCTAATTTATTACTAGCCTATGAAATTGGAGGTTACTTTTCCTTCAACTCAGGTCTTCTAGTAGGTATGGACTAGAGTCTCTTCAAGATTTCTTTAAAATTTTAAAGGTAGCTTAGGACCTTAGTAAACCACAAAGAACATCATAGGAAACATGCTACTTATATACTATGCACAGAAAGAATAGTAAAGGTCAAGGAAAAACACAATACTACGCTTATGTCATGATTCTTTGGTATAGTCAAAGTGAATTTAAAAGTATTACTTTAGGTAGAGGTAAATTAAAATGAAAACAACCCATGTTATTTTTTTCTTGGTTTAGCCTATACCTTGTTTGGCTCCCCTGGATTATATGAAGAAAACATAGGAATTTTTCGGATCTCTTCCTCTGACAAACGATTTCTCTGGATCTCATCTTCTGGGACAAATTCTATTGGCTGCGTCAGCTTCTTAGGCCCAGTCCAACACTGCTCAGGTGAATTATCAATAACTTTTGCCACATGGAGACTGGGGCCTTTACCCTGTGCTGCCTGTTCTCCCTTGTCCTGGAGTAATGGCGGGTTCTCAGCTGTGCCATTATCTCCCACTGATGTAGCTGAGACCAGTGAGTGGGAAGCAAAGGGTTCACCTCTCATAAGTTGGAACTCTTCAAGACGTTTTTTCATTATCATCTCTTGGTAAAAACTTTCCAGGTTGTTCATGGGATCACCTTTGTTCTTCTTTTGGGGATCATCTGGATTAAGACAAAGAGATAGGGAAGTTCTACAAAGCCTACCAATACAACCTTTGACAAATTAATAAAAATTAAATCTTGGATCTCAGATACAGAAACTCTGCTGGGGCAGGTGTCTACAACCTGCAACAAGTGATAATAGTATATAGCTATTTTATTACAGTGCATCTCAAGCAAGTCTGGAACTATGGTGAGGCAGGAGGGGCACCTGGGTGCAAATTTTAAGAAGGTGCTCACTCTCAGAGTCATGCAAGTACATGCACCTAATTGATAAGGACACTTGAAAAATGTAACCTGTATGGCATTATTACGCATCACAAAATTAATAATTCTTTAATATCATCTAATACCAAGTTCATATTGAAATGACCCTTATTATCACAAAGATATCTTTTTACACTTGGTTGTTGAAACCAGCCTTTGGCTGTTATATCCATAGATAGATATGTACTTCCTATTACACCATAAGGCACATAATGTTTGGTGGTCCCATTTCTAGTGATGCTGAAGTTTTTTCATTCACCTTTTACCTAATGGGTTTTACATCCATTGATTACTCTTGCCTAGATCTATTAATTTACAAAGAGTTGTGAAATGGAGCTCCCTTAATTCTATTTCTTTGGGTTTATTATTTAGAATTATATAATAAACTTACCATCATCAACTAAACGGTTTCCCTATATTTAGTTCATAAAGAAAAGGCAGGATAAATGCTTGATTTTTCCCATTATTTACCACTCTGAGAGTAATGAGTTGGTACCTTAGAAATGTCCAGTAGTAACCAATGATTATTTTTAGTGTAATTGTGAGATCATGTGCATTTTTACACATTTGATGTGTTTCAATTAAATATAGTCATTGTTCTTTTTAATGGTCAAATTATTCTACTTAGGACCAGTAAGAGTCCCTCCAAATTGATTCCTGTAATGCTTTTCAGTTTTCTGGCACAGCAAAATGTCCCAAGCTCATCTTGCACATTTTCTGGCTCAAACCTGGACTATTTGTCCAAGGACTCCTGGCTCCTTGTAATGGGAAATAGTATTTAGAAAGCAAAATGTGTTGCTAGGCGTGTTCATTGCCACTGAGTTGTTATTGCTTCTAGGCATTTTCAGTGAATAAAACTAGGACATTTTTTTAAAGAGAAAAATAAACCATACTGGTATTTCCCTTTTAATGTAAGATTATAAGATTTTTTTTCTCCAACTCCTTGAATTTAGACTTGTATATCTCTTTTCACATATGCTTAAAATATTGGCTCTTAATAATAAAATTATTTATTAGCTTTTTCTTAGAAAATATTTAATGAATTTGAAAATGTCAATGACCATACTAATATGACTATCAACAATAAAACTATTGAGTACAGTTTTACATTTCTTTTCGGCTACCTTTGTCCTTAAAATATATCCCATTAGGAATGTACAAATATTATTTTAAAGTCATTTTAAATAATCGTTTCCTTTGTATTGTTATGCTACCAACTTTTTTATAGTTAGGTTCATTGGCTTCAGGTTGTTTGTGAATTTTAGGGATTGACATTTTCCCTTTTTTGATTTTTAAATTATGCAAAAACATTTACATGGGTCTAAAGTAAAAGCTGTGTTGTATAGTACCTTCACAGAAGTCTTATTTGCATCTCTGTCCCCTTTATCTCATTTCTTTTCTTCCCCATAAACAATACTTTTTATTAGGTTTTGGCTTTATGGTTCCATTGATTCTGTTTTGAAAATATAAGCAAATAGGCATACACACACATGTGTGTGTATATATAAAATTCATTGGTTACACCTCTCCTACATAAACCGTAACTTACTATACACTGTTTACAACTTATTTATTTTATTTTATTTTTTTATTGATTTTAGAGGGAGAGAAAGAGAGAGAAACATCAATGTGAGAGAGAAACATCAGTTGCCGCCTGCACACACCCTCTCATCCTGACCAGGGATCAAACCCCCAACCTGGGTATGTGCCCTGACTAGGAATTCAATCTTACAACTTTTGGTGTACAGCATGATGCTCCAACCACCTGAGCCACACAGGCCAGGGCACAACTTACTTTTTTGCACTTAACAATAGGTACTTGAAGTAATTCCATATTAATATGTAGAGCTCTTTCCCTTCCTTCTGATAGTTGCTTAATACTCCACTGTGTGGATATACCATAGTTTGTTCAACTATTCCCTACTTATGCACATTGGTATTATATCCAGTCCTCTTTGCTTATGAATAATGTCCTGACAAACAACCTTGTGCATATAAAATTTTGTATTTTTCCAGTACATCATTGAAATAGATTCCAAGAGATGGCTTTGTTGAAACAAAGAGTTAAATGTGTATAAAATTTTTCTCTATATTGCTAAATTCTACTTTGTAGAAGTTGTACTATTCTGTATTTCCACCAGCAAGGTATACAAATAAGTATGGAAGGATTTCTTAAGTTCCCCAAAGTACTAACCATTAAAGAAAAATAATGACAAATTCAACTACATTAAAATGAAAAACTTCTGTTCATCAAAAATATCATGAAGACAGAAAAGTCTCGGAATGGGAAAATATATTTGCTGCACAAATAACTGATAAAGAACATAACCATTAGTAAAATGGACAAAAGATGCCTCAAAAAGATAAAATAGACATGGCTAATAAATATGTAGAAAATCACTCAACCGTATTAGAATTCAGGAAAATGCTAATTAAGAAGAAAATACTAAAAAAACAAAAAAAACCCACAAAACTGCCATATAAATAGAATGTGAATATCACATATCAGTGAGACTGTAAAGCAAATGAAACCTTCATACATTGCTGGTAGGAATGTGCAACCACAGCGCAAAACACTATGACATTATTTATTAATATTCAATATATGCTCAGAATATGACCCATCAATTCCACTCCTATATATATATACCCTAGAAAATTTTGGGTATATGTGCACCAGGATATAATAACAATGGTTAAATCACTGGTATTTATAATAGCCTGAAACTAGCAAAAAATGTAACCATCTATCTAAAAATAATCAATTATAAAATTATAGTATATTTATATAAAGAAATACTACATTCCAATGAAAGTGAACAAATTTCAATTACATATGACCAAGTGGATGAAATATCCTAATGTTTATTCAATGATTATTATGATCCAGGAATTATTCTAGGTTCTTGAGATACATCAATAAATAAAACAAAGACTTCCACCTTCATAGAGCTATTAGAAGGCTATGTTAGAAGGTTATGAGTGCTTCAAAAAAGAAAAATACAGCAGTGTAAGAGAAGGTTGGAAGTGCTAAAGGTGGTAGTTTTGATGGCTGCAATTTTAATATTGGACTGGGTAGGTCTCATTGAGAAGGTGATATTTAAGAGAAAACTTAAAGAAAGTGAGGGAATTTACCATGCTGCTATTAGTGTGAGGGCCCCAAGTATATCTCAAAATTTTCAAAAGTATAAAAGCATACAGTGCATTTCTCTGACCACAACTGAATCACATTAGAGATCCACAACTGAAAAAAAATTGGGAAAACAAATATTTGAAAAGTAGACAGTATACTTCAGAATAACCCATAGGTCAAATAACTCACAAAGAAAATTAAATAATATTCTGTACTAAATGAAAATGAAGACTTAGCATACCCAAATTTATAGATGTAGCTAAAACATGTTCAGAGATAAGTTTGTAGCTTTAAAAATCTATAAAAAAATAATAATGACTTCAAATCTGTAACCTGAGCTTCCAATTTAGGAATCCAAAAAAAGCAAACTAAATGCACTGCAAGCAGAAGAAAGAAAATAAGAAGGATTAGGAAATAAACCAGTACAATATAAAACAGAAAAATAGAGAAAAATCCATGAAACTAAAAGCTGGTTCTTTGAAAAGGTTAACAAAATGGCAAACCCTTAGCTAGACCAACCAAGAAAATAAGACAGAAGACAAAAATGACTAAAATAATTAAAGAGGAGGTATCATTACTGAACTTATACAAATGGCAACAATTTTAAGGAAATATTATAAATAACTTTAGACCAACAAATTAGAAAGCTTAGATGAATGAACAAATTCAAAGAAAGATACAAATTACCAAAGCAGACTCAAGAAGAAAGAGAACAGCTGAACAACCCTATTTATAAGTAGTAAGAAGGTTGAATTAGTAATCAACAAACTGCTCAGAAAGTAAAGTCCAGGTCCAGGTGGCTTCATTTGTGAGTTCTACCAAATATTTAAAGAAATAATATCAATCTTGCACAAACAGTTTCAGAAAATAGAGGAGAGAATATTTTTTCAATTTATTCTATGGGGTTAGTATCAGATGAAAACCAAAGCTAAACAACGACATCAGAAGCAAAGAAAACCAACATCCCTCATGAACACAAACATAAAAATCTTTACCAAAATACTAGCAAGCCCAACCCAGAAATATATAAAAATTATATACATATAAGAAGGATTTATCCCAGGAATGAAATATTGGTTTGCCATGTAAAAGTCAACACTATAATACATAATATTAATAGATTAAAACCTTAAACCATGTGATCAAGACAATAGGTACAAAAAAGCAACAAAATCCAACACCCACTCATGGTTAAACAACAACAACAACCCTCAACTAACTAGAAATAGAAGGGAACATGTTCAATCTACATGTGGTAGGCTGAATAAAATGCCCCCGCCCCAAAGTCCTAATTACTGGAATCTGTAAAAATGTTACATGGCAAAAGAGACTCTACAGATGTAATTAGGATACAACTCTTAGATAGGGGGATTATCCTCCATTATGTAGATAGGCCAAATGTGATTATAATGGTCCTTATAAAAAGGAGGCAGGAGGGTCAGGGACAGAGTAGGTGATATAGTGATAAAAGTAGAAGATGGAATAACGTGAAGAAGAGGCCATGAACTAATTAACTTTGGTGGGTTCTAGAAGCTGGCATAGGTTCCCTAGCGAATGCCAGAAGGAATGCAGCCTTGAGTTTAGTTCTGACCTCTAGAACCTT